GGTATTGAACAGTAAATACAACAGAAGAGTATTAAACGAATTGGTAGTGTGTGTCGATTGACTTGAGTTCAATCTATACTACTGTTCCCCCGAGACTTACTTTCCGACTAATTTTATAGTAAATGGAAGAGTCCACAATAGACTCATTAGAGGGAGGACACCACAAATAGAGGATAGACTAGAAATAGCGATCGTTCAGACGTCACGCTACTTTCTACTTATGCGTTTCCTATATGGTCACGTGGTTTACTTAATTCAATAATGTAATTGCCCGTGTTTGCACACTGGCGATCTGTGTTCAAACTCAAGTGTAGGCAGCGACACTTTATTCCTATAAAACAATTCTCCTGGCGTAAGGTGAGAACACACAGACAATATTAAGCTTAACCCGTATTTATAAAGATGAGTGCTTTATAGAGTGTGATAGCCTTGCGCTGTGGTGGGATTTCTTATTCTTGTGAAACTATTTCATTATATCTGTTACAATAGTTATTTGGCTAGTTCTCGTGTACTTGTAAAATCAAATTCTGCCATTAAAACTACCATCCGATCAGATGCTACTGACAGTTGGAACGGGGTGATGGGCGGGTATCCATTTAGCTTTTTGCTACTCTAATTCTCTCTTTGAGATTTCCCTCATACCAACACGCAAACGTCCCAGGGAGCAAAGCGTCTCCTATGTCGTTCTCACGATTTCCTATAGGTTGATGATAGGTGAACTCCTTGGTGAACGAAGTGGATGACAAAACCGTCATTAAGCCACATTTACGACCGTCTGTGATTGTTGGGTAAAATATATTGATTTTAAACCAACGTAAAGAACTCGCGTCTCGTGTGATCAGATTTAGACTTGTAAAATCTCCGAACGAAATGGAAGACGAAAATATCATTAAGCCACATTTACGACCGTCTATGATTGGTGGGTAAAATATATATTGATTTCAAACCAATGAAATGACTTTCGCCCCGTGTGATCAGATTTAGACTTGTAAAATCTCTGAAGATGGAAAAGTAATGACATCAGATAATCGGCCATGTTGGGAATCATTTGGCACCCAGTGTTCAACTTAATTGTCAGATGATTGTTGGAAAATGGCGGGAAAGTTTCGATTAGAAAAGGCTGCAAATGTGCCCCAGACGCTATATTAGGAAGAGGCAATTAATGGTGCCCAGATGACATTGGCAGAGAAACAAATAGCCAACAGAAATGAATCTTGGGATGACACGACATCTGGATCGTGTCTCAAGAATGGATGGAGAAATAAAGTTTTGTATTCCTGTTCGGGTTTGTTGAATAGAACAAGATTATTTTATTTTAATGTTTAAGTCACTGGAAACATTGTTTTTACATATGTATGTTAGGATGTATGGTGTGTAACGGATATCGGCTCGGAGTGAGAAATCGGAGAGCCGAGTTCCAATTCATGTCGGGTTCATTATATTCACATAAGCGCAAATACCCTTGAAAATCTCTTCTCTTTTGAGACCTATAGCTTTGATTGGTTACTGCATAAGGAAACGGCAACCTACTATGGGGAAAATCGTCTGGCTTGTCAGTCATGAATCGAAAGAGACATGATCCCCCAACGTGTATGGTACTTAACTTACTGACTGATGTTAGCCCAAAATATTAAATAAGTCAAAAAGTTTTCAGTTAAAAAAATATTTTTTTTAATCATTTCACCCCAAGCAAGGTAGTGAAACCACAAAATACAAGGAGTTACTGAGTGTGAAAGAATAAGTAAAAAAGAAACATTAAGGAGGGAGAATAATAAAAGAGTAATCAAGAAGACTACAGATAATGATTGACATTGCATTTAAATTTTGAAAGATCAAAGTTGGCTGGAAAGCATGGTGTTGGAAGAGAGTTCGACAAGAGAAAAAAGAAACTGTTTGCATAGAACTTACGGTTGCGTCAAGTCAATTCAACTGTGAATTGATGAGACCTAGTTGCCAATCTAGTACTGCACTTAAATTCATAAAGTCTAGATACCATTTGAGAAGAGTTCATTCGAATAGTTAACATGAAAAATATTTATTGAAAAAGGCACAGAGAAGCTACATTATGGCGGTAAGGAAGTGACTAAAGCCGAGATGCCAGGCCAGGACCATAATTATTGATTATTTCTTCTTTTGGTTTTTATCAAGAATCTCTAAATATATAGCAGCAGCACTGGACCATATATGGCAGCAATATTATAAGTGTGAACGGATGGTAGACGTATAGATATGTATGATAGATTCTGGAGGGAAAATTGTCTAGCGCGACACAGTGGACCAACTTTCTTAGCATCTGGTATAGCAATAGATTCAATACAGTCTTTCCACTTCATGTCAGCCGAGAATGTTAGCCGGAGAATGCGCAACCAGTATATATATATATATATATATATATATATATATATATATATATATAGTGTTTATACGTTATTTTTAAGTTTTTGAAGATGAAAGTTTGTCGAAATACATGGAACTGGAAGAAAATTTCCCAAGCGAAAAATGCAGGAAAAAAATCTTAGCATGGAACTTAGTTACATGTAGACAACTCAGCTGTTAATTGACGAGAGCTTATTGCCAATCTAGTACTGCACTTAAATTCATAAAGTCTAGATACCATAGCGAAGAGTGCATTCGTATAGTTACCATGAAAGTATTTATAGAAAAAGTACAGAGAAGCTACATTATGGCGCTGGTAAAGTGATTGAAGTGAATGCTTATTAAACAGTAGAAAACTGTAATTTTGTGGGTAGAGAATAAAGGAGAGAAAAAATAATGTTAAAGATTAAGAAGAGAAAAAAATCTAACTAATAAATAACCATACAGCTTGTTGGAATTGTATTTCTGAAATGCGATATATTTGACAAAGTCAGTTCAGGGTCAGAAATCACGTAAGAAAAAGAAAAAAAAAGGAAAAGAAGCAGTGTTTTCATTGGTTCATGAATTGACTAATCAGCAACTAACAAGAAGGCAAGACTATCTATGGAGGTAGGGAAATTCTCTGACTCGATGTACCCTCTTTGTCACCGGCAAGCAGTCGGCAACATTTCCCAGTTGGAAAGAATAAAACAACCTAAAAAAGAACCCATTGCGTTGTTCCATTTATTATGACAAGAATACCTTTCACCTGGTGAAAAGAAGGCTTTTGCCTTTCATTGAGAAAATGAGACGATGCGACTCTGGGGCATTGGCCTGAATGAAGAGAGCCGATGAGACTCACTGTGAAACAAGGACCAGAGTTCGCTGAACACCAGTTCAAGTTACATGGTATGTCGTGACAATGCAAAACTTATTTTATCTTTAATAACAATAGCAATAATCATAATAATAAGATATACCATCGAAACATTTCACTGTTTTCTTATTTTAATTGAATAAGTTCCTTGCGAGTTCTACAGCTATAAACTATCCGTAGAATTTACCCTTATTTCATCGTCAAATATTTGAACTTAACAATTTTAACAAAGTATTACGATAACAATCATAAATACGAATGCATGTCATTATGCAAAGAAGTAAGAGGGTACAAATGAAAAGCTTTGAAATTGACAAGCAGCCGTTAAACACTTTTTTTTTCTCACTGAAACTGAACAGCATCTCTGATATACCTTTTCCGTCTTTTCTCGCGATCAAAATGGAATCGTCCTTTATTTATGAGATATTGGCAGAGCGTAACGTACGTGCTAAGGGACGACCAGAATTATAATAATAAATGGAAAGGTTTGTATCTTCTTCATGCTTTATGAAAATGTTTTTCAATGTCTGGCACTCGACCCAATTAAGAGGAGAGGGAAAATATACCGTATTTTTGTGGATTTTTTCCCATATGGAATAAATGCCACGTTCGGCGGAGGAGGGACGTATTCAACATTTGATGATTTTGCGGAAATGTCCGCTTAAAGGTTTTAGGCAGTTTTCATCAACATTTCATTTCATGGTTAGCCGTAAGGAATTGTAAATGTAGGACTACTTTACACTTAAATAAAATAAAAACAATAATAATATTTATTAAGAATTTATTACAGTAAATATCAAGTTTTACGGAAGCAATGTTGACAATTGTGTATTTAGTTACATAACAAATAAATAAAAATAGTATAAATTTTGAGGTTATATTCGATTTGTTGTTAGGTATTTTTCATTTTCTCCTTTGTTATTGCCAGCATTTTAGATACTTTGGCTGCAATGCTAAGTTTCCTAAGTTGAAAAAAAAATGGAGCTTCTTCGTTTAAGCTTTGTTACTTCTCTTTTCCATTGTTGTTTTTAGATCGCTTTCTTCCAGTCATTTTGATGCACAATAGCAAAATTCTGGAATTTTAGAATGATCTTATTCCATTTCAGAAATAAAGCCTGTAAAAAGGAATATTTTAAATTAATATACGGCCATAAATAAAATGCTTTTGACAAAAAACCTTAATGATGTCACTATAATTATGTAACAATAATGCAATGATATTCCGTAGACAAATCTACGGTTTATGTTACCTCATCTCATTGCATGGCTACGAACTATAAACATAAACTGAGCTTGAAATATTTGTGTAATCGGATCTAATTTTTTCTAAAATACTTGGATATATAATGAATAATTTGCAGTGAAAAAAAAGCAATCTTCGATCTTTTGTTGAATACACCCCTCCTTCGCCGAACGCGTCATATATTGTTCTTTTCAGTGTAATAAACTTGGATTTCAGTGTCCGTTTATGCTATGTATATTTCAAAAGGATTAATGGATTTATTTTTAATCCGACATTTTTTGTATTACTTCAAATGTTATTATAGTGGATGCTTCGTATTTGAAATAGACGACCCGTTTTTATTTATCAAACAATGTGTATTACGTCTATCGGCCTGCACATTCGAGAAATCTTACAAAAGAAAACGTCAGGGATCGAACCCGCATCACTCTCTATAGGGGAGATCACCGTTTGATCCGGCATAGTTCAACGCTTAGCCACGAAGAACCTCACAGCCAGCAAGTGTCTATTTCCCATTAAGTATAAACCCGTACGATCAGCGAAGTTAAGCAATGTCGAGCTTGGTTAGTGCCTAGACGGGTGACCTCTTAGGAATACCAGGTGCTGTCTGCTTGGATGTGCGGATGGTGTAATGGATATCGGCTCGTAGTTGTCAATCAGAGATCGATTTCTCTACGGTTCACATTACGCTCAAATACACTTCGGAAAGGTATGAATCCACTTAGTCTCCCGAGTTAATTAGTAAAACTTATATCCCTAAAACCATTATTATTGCCCTCCAGCGAAAAAAAAAATGAAAATTGCGTACAATGTATTTTAGATTTTGATATTAAATAACCCAGAGATATATAAATAAACAAAATAAACAAAACCAATCAACCAATCAAACAAGTGAGAACAAAAAGAAAGAAACACCATTTTAATAACCGTTATCTTTTTTTATGAAATTTGGCTTGGGCAGGCTATGACTAGCTAAGACCATCTATGACTAAGACGAGTTCTGACCAGCATGGACGTTATGACCAGCTATGACTAGCTAAGACCATCTATTACTAACTTAGAGGAGCTCTGACCAGCATGGACATGTTATGACCACCTATGACTAGCTAAAGCCATCTATTACTAATTTAGAGGAGCTCTGACCAGCATGGACATGTTATGACCAGCTATGACCAGCTAAAGCCATCTATTACTAATTTAGAGGAGTTCTGACCAGCATGGACGTTATGACCAGCTATGACTAACTAAGACCATCTATGACTAACTTAGACGAGTTCTGATCAGCTTGGACATGTTATGATCAGCTATGACTAACTAAGACCATCTATGACTAACTTAGACGGGCTCTGACCAGCTTGGACATGTTATGACCAGCTATGACTAGCTAAGACCATCTATGACTAACTTAGGCGAGCTCTGATAAGTTTGAACAAGCTATGACTAGATAAGACCATCTATGACTAACTTAGACGACCACTGACCAGCTTGGACAAGTTATGACTAGCTATGACTAGCTAAGACCAGCTGTGACTATATTAAACCAGCTCTGACCAGCTGGGACAAATTATGACCAGCTTATACCAGCGCCCCCAGTGAAAACACTCAGGTCCCACGTTAAAAAACTGACCTTGTGTCACAATCTGACTCAGTTGATTGGGGTGGGGGGTTTCAAGTAAATCTCTTCTTCATGACATTAGACGCGGGCCATTCATAACGTCAAACGCCGCAGTTTGCTCCTGACTGACGTCGATGGTCAGGTGTCCTTCGGTCAAGTCCCGTTGCTACATAGTACATACTTTTTTTTTTAACATTATACTATAAACGAATTATTTTTACAAAGTTGCATTATCGCCTAACATCTGCTGAGTGAGTATTGCTTACTCTGACAAATTCCCTGACTCGTTGTCGAAAGAGCAGAAGCGAATTATTTGGCGCACCGTTAAAACAAGTTAAAATAAATAGTGTTGGTTTTATGTAATTTATATAAAATATGGTGGATATAATGAGACAATGTGGAAAAACTATTCAAACAACGCGTTTCGCCTTCTTTATGGTAGGCGTCTTCAGTTCGGAAATCTCTGTATCAGGAAAGTGCGTTGGAATGTTGAGGAAAAGTTAATAAAGATCCTTATCATATGTTACAGCTAGAAATTTTTTTTTGTTTTGAAGCCATTAACATCTGCTGGATTTGAAATATGTCCACTTCGATTAGATCTGTTTTTTTTTTTTTGCTTTGTTTACCTCTATTAGTTCTTATAACTATTGTTATTTCCGTGGATGATATTGTGTATGAACCCGGTCTGAGGTCGACCGTAGAGAATTGTGAGATCAGTCCACTTTCAATGTATTTTCTTCTTAGTGAATTATTTTCTCTTCTAATTAGACTGGAATGTCAAATCTAGTTGCATTGAGATCAATATAATCTTTGTAGTTATTGTCGCATTAGTCTGAATGTAAATAATAATAACGCCTCATCCTAGAAATTTAGACAAAATTATCAAATCTATGTCGACCACACAATTTTTTTCAATATAACATTTTTGATCCGCTTAATATTTACATTAGTTAAAAGCATAAGTCCTTGGAGAATTGAAATCAATTTCTTTTTGCAAAACAGGACCCCCTCCCGGTTACCGAAAATCTGCACTGAATCATAAAATAAAAAATGCAATAAAGCTAAGACATTATTTAATTAGAAAATCTTTTAATTACTTTTAGGAATAAAACATATTATGGATACTATTGTCTTAAGAAGAAAAATTTTCGATGAATTTTTACAAGAATTGTTTTAATTTTTTTAATTTAATTATAATTTATAAATTTTTTTCTGTATTAATTTGTCCTGATTAGGTGATATTGTTATTAAGTAAAAAACTATATTTACTAATCATAAATGGGAAAGCTTATTACAATTTAGCGACCCCCCCCAATATTTTAAAAAGCATTTTGTATTTTTTATTTGTGTATAAATGTCCTGATTTGTGTAAACACTGATGTCCATACACGACATTATCAGAAAATAAGAACGATAACTATACTAAATTTAAAATCCAAAATATCTAAGATTGAATAAAATATTAGATTATGGAGAATATTTTCCTAAATTTTTAAGATTACTGAGTAGTTAAGATTATATGAAAAGGCGCTCACGTTGTATTCCTCAAGTAATTTTTACAGATATATTGTGACGTGGTACACACCTGACCCAGGGTCGAATCCTTTGGTTACGGCGCCAACTGTGACGTCGCTCCTCCTGGTCGCTCCTCCTGGTTCCAAGCGTGCCGCTCCAACCCCTTGGTTAGATGATCACCAGCCTCGCCTTTCCCAACTCGCTTCCAATACCTGGTTACTGAAGCAACTGTACTGATCTCCGGTCTGTCTACCCACGTTGTGTTTAGATCTTAGACAGACGGGACCAGCAGGGATTGGGGCCGATACAAGTTGAGTCCGACGGGGTGGCAAAACACAAGTAAAAAAAAAAAAAAACTCACGAGACAAAAAATTACTGATAAAAAAAAAAAGGGTGACAACCTTTTATATCTAATGTCCGTTACATAAGAAAAATTGTTCTTATTTCCCGACCCGCTCTGTGGACTATGGCACCGAGCTTCTATCATACAACTTAAAGATTTCGAATTGCCTACTCTTCAGAATTATGTATGTCGGAGTGTGGTCTAGTTCGACACTGGGGCTAATTTCTGTCAATCATTCGCAGTTGATTCTTCTCTTCGACTTGAGTTGTATTTCTTCACTTCGATCTGGTTGGGTCGAATTCTGATCTCGGGCTTGGCTTGATTTCAATTTCTTCTTCTTCCGTCCAGCAACTCTTTTCTGTCGACTGAGGTGGAACTGATTTGCTTGTTTGGTCTGCAACTTTACTTCTTGTCTGGCCTGCAACTCTTCGGCCTGTCTTTGACTCGGCTGCAACTTCTCTGCGGCTTTCGAGTAATCTTCTTCTTCGTCGACTTAGATGGAACTTCTCTTGTCTTCGACTTGGGCTGGAAGGATTTCTTGTTTTTTACTTGGGCTGGAAGGATTTCTTGCCGCAACTCAGCCGCAACTCTCTGTCGTCCGAGGTGGTCTCTTCTCGCTGCCGTCCGGGGCTGAACTCTGCCGTAACTCTGCCGTAACTCTGCCACAACTCTTGGCGTCCTTCGAGCAATCTCCTTCTTCGTCTGCTTGGGCTGGAAGTTCTCTTGTCTTCGACTTGGGTGGAAGGATTTCTTGTCTGAGGATTCTCTTGTCTTCAAAGGGGCGAGTGAATCGGGCCTGATGCCCGCGTTCAGGCTCTATCCCTGCCCGCGGTCCAGCTGCAACTCATTTCTGTCGACTAGGGTCCTGCTTTTATTGACGCCGCAACAAAACGGGGTGGGTTTGTCGGCGTCAGGGGTTCTCGATAATTCCAATAGCCGCATTATTTCTGTCTTCCCATTATCGCTATTATTTTCACCCCTACTTCCTCACAGTGCCTTTGGTGGGGAGGCGCACCCATCTCTCCGCATGCCACGTGACCGTTTTCGACCAATGGTTCTTGATCGAGCATTCTTTCTCCTCTTTTCCGCAGATCACGTGACCGTTTTCGACCAATGGTTCTTGATCGAGCATTTCTTTCTTTTCTTTTCCGCAGCCACGTGACCGTTTTCGGCTAATGAGATTCTGGTTGGGCGTTCTCCTGTCTCCAATCGGGGCGGGGCTTATATCGTTCTTGTTCTAAAAAACAAAATCTAATTTGGCCTTTTTCGCACGTACGAAAAATGATAATCTTGGCTTTTCTCACCTGGGTTCTGTCAAAACAGCCTGCTGCTAATTAGATGTGACTTCAGGAAAGAATATTGGCGCTATCTGTGAGCCGAGACATCCGCCTTCTTCACCTCTTTTGTTTTTTTTCGGTCAGACCTGATAGTCAAAAAATCTTAATTATCTACATTGAAAATGTTTCCACTTTATTATCGTGGGTTTCAATTCTTAACCGGTCAGAATCTGTATACAGTTCCACCGGTCACCCCTCAACCCAAAAAAGACACCTTTCCTCTGATTAAAATTTCGTTCCCATTGTTCTAAAAAATTTCCCTTTCTCCAAATTGATAATGAGTCTTTCTACGCAAAAAGTCGGTCATGTGCTTCGACCGATATTTTTTTTTATTATCAATACACTCTTATCAAGCATGGTCCTTCCATTCTCTAAATGACTTTCCTTCTAAATAACAAATCCCATTGTCTTTTCGAAAATCGGCCAAGATGTTGGCCTAAATACCTTTCTGATACGTGTTTTGTTAATGACCGCTTTTTGTATTTCTCGACCTCTCTCTTTCTTTCTTTCCTTTTTCTTTTAGGATCGTCTAAGTACAACTTAGTGAATTATTTTCAAACTCAATTATTCTTCGTCTAAAAAAAAAAACTAACAACCTGTTTAATAAACCGAGTAAAAAAATTAAATCATATTTCTATCAATATTTCTAATAATGCAAGGTGCCACAATATCCACCGTACAAAAATAAGTCCGTTTGTCAGTCAAGCTGTCAACCTCTGAACACCTTAAATAAAGAACCGCTGTGTTAAAAATGCATTTCTGCGATATTTTAAAGTTAAAGTAATATTTGTTTCAAATCA